GCACAAACCTGCCGTGCTGCCAACAGGTCGTTGGCTTGTGTTTTTCATTTGCTGCTGCTGCAGTACCAAGTGAAATTTCCCTTGGGAAATCTGCCGAGATGCAGATGGAAATTCTCTGTCCTATGGTTCAACATGTCATATTAGGAAATTGCAGAGAAATTCAAGAAAAATGTGAATGGTCTAATTGCAGAGGATTTTTTTTATATGGTATGGGGAAAATAAGTTATTGTTTCATGTGTAAGACTACATTTTTGACTGCATCCTTTTAGGTAAACAGAGTCTGAGCGGTCTCCCTCTGTCAGAGGCATCAGATACAGGTACTGTTCATGTTTTGTGCCACTAGATGTGTTTGCTTATGACTTTTTCTTTTCTTTTGTGGTCTCTTGTGGGCAAACAGAAGTGTGCACACATGCAAGGAACTTCACTGTCTGGGAACTTAACAGAGAGACACAGGGAGCACATTTGTGTTCTCTGTGCCGAGTTTAAACTTTCCTTAAACAGTTCTGGTATTCTTGAAATAATTGAGATCTTAAACAAATTTCCTATTCCTGTTTTAAGCCTCAAGTGAAAGTAGTTTTGCCCCTCAATATACTGATAATGTAGTCAGCTGGAGCTTTGGGATGGTGGTAATAAAATGACAGCTACTTTAGTCTTCAGAGCCATTTATGAGGTTTGAGAGAGGTAAACATTCCTCCAGAAGAAGGGAAATGGGACAGAGGTGAATTAACATTCCTTAACATCACCTATTGTTTGTCTTTGAGCCCTAACTGTAATACTAATCCCATACTTTGGCAGCAAAAGAGAACCCATTTGACATACCTTTTGTGTCTTGAACTCCCCAAGGCAAGGGAGGGGACTTTGAAGCACAGAAATAAAATTTTAAAAAGGAGGGAGAAAAGGCACATCATTTTTTCTTTCGCACAAGCTACGAATCCAATGCAGATGAGCCACACGTGTAGTTTGTCTCTATGAAAGCACTTCTCCATGTGGGTGGACGGGTGAGCTGTTGCAGAATTTATTTTAGGAACCTGTTTCTAGAAAATGTTATTTATTGCAAATGGTAATGTATTGTAACTGGAACCATTTCTGAGCTGAAATTATTACATTTATGTAACTACTAATAAAGTTTTGTCTTTGCTTCTAGGAAGTTATCAGGTGCTCTGTTGGACTCCACACTCAGGTCAGCTAATACACCATAGCTTACATCTGTATCAAACATAAAAGTAATTCAAAAGTAATTGGGGTAACCAAAATCTTACACCTCATGAACATGCAGATGCAAAAAAGTGTCTTTTTCCAGTGGTAAAGCTGGCAGAACAAAAAATTCTGTATAAATCTGAGAGATTGAAAATGTGGTGGCTGTCAGTTTGTCAATTCAACATTGAGGAACATAATAAACCACAAAATCCAGTGCTTTCACAGGAGTCATTTATTAACTGAAAACATCTTCCATCACAGGTTTAATATCCAGAAATTGCTAAACTATCACAAACATAATCAACATAACTGAGGTGTTAAAATTCAAGTATATCTTTTGTTGAAGAATCACAGCTTTTGCTCTAAAGACAAGTTCAAGATTACTCTGTGCTTAGCTGATGTAGACCTTACTGACACAAGGAATCCAACCACAGTCCAATCTAGACAAAGGTATTTTTAAAATTCATTATATACCTTATCTTTAATTATGGTTTGTGCTTGTTATCAGGCAGAGTAAAAGGTATTATTTGCTAGGAAAAAAGTAAACAATAATTTTAACAGACAGAAAAGACATCAAGATTTTTAAATGCACCCATGCATCAGGTCAGTAACTTTGCAATGAATGGAGCAGCAGGTTAAGAAGTACACCCCCATTCAAGACTGCACTGTCACACAGCAGTAAATGAGATAACTTTAATTTTGCCCTTATACTGCAGTTCACAGAGACGTATTTGAAGTCTGTGCAATGTCAGTAGTAGATACTCTACCTGTGTACAATAACTACAAGCGTGCCTGCCTCACTGCATTGTGGTACCCAGGCATCAAGTGATGACCTCCTTCTACCTAGTTACTCTTTCCAGTAAGAAATAAACACCAGCTGGCAGCCAAGGCTGGCTAACAGCTTCCTCTTCCACAATACTGTATTCCCCAAATTCAGGCAGCCCGTGTGCTCTATGGTGTAAGCTTAGAAGTTGGCTGTAAGAAAGTTTCTTTCAGCTAGTGTAGAAATAGGTCATCTGTTTTTTATTCTTGACAACAGGCATGTATGCTGCAACTGATAACAGCAGTAAGTCCTCACTATCTTAAATGTGCATTTTTGGTGCACTGGAAACTACTGGAAGGGCAGTAAACACCCTTTAGCTGCCCTTCAGTTGGCATGATGCACACATACTGACAGATACTGTGCTCCAGACCCGCCTGGTCTCAAGTGTTACACAAATATAACCATAAAAAATATTTAGAAATAGTAAGTAGCAATGAATGCTACCTTATGTGCGCTTTAAAAAAATGCTGTGAAACTCAGTTCCAGCTTGGTTCCCCCTCCCCACCTCCAAGTCTTGTGTTACCTCGTACCTCTTTGCCTGTTTGGATAAAATATCTTTAAAATATCACATTTCATAGGGTACATTCTACCCTACATAGGGTCTGTAGGAAGATCTCTGTTGCCTTCCTTCATTTATTTTTAATAATTAATGGGTAAAGCCCCACCAAATAAAGTTAACCAACACAGGAAACAAAATTTATTCTCCTTAGCCTCTTCAGTGCTGATTTATTTGCCAAACTGACATGGCACATTTTTTGAAGTGCTTCTTTTGACTACCATTAAAATAATGTTTAAACAGCACTGTTTATTTCATATTAAGGAATCTTTACATGATCTTTTGAAGATGACAATTAAAATAGTGAGGTGATGCGTAGAAGTCTCACCTCTGATCGCTGTTTAAATCTTTATTAGGTCACAGGTTAGCCAAGTTTGAAAGTTTTTAAACCCTCCTCCCTAACGGACATTCATCTGTGCAACCACAAATCCGGTTCCAAGCCCAAAGCCCAGAGGAACAGAACCATCCATCTGCTCCTGTTCTTTGGAGGTGGAGAGTAATGTTCCTTTAGACACTGAGCAACATTTACATTAGTGACTGTACTTCTACCCAAGGTGAGTCACATTCTTTTCACGGAAGGGAGTGTATCTATATCATCATGCCACCACTTGTGCTTCCTTAACACAGCCCTTACAGTGTCTCCTTACAATTCTGCAAGTTATTCCTGCAAGTAAGCATCCTGTCTTCTTCCTGCTCCTCACTAAGCCAGCAGCTCCCTGTCCTGCAGGACTGCTGGGGCTCACAAACATCAAGCAAGGGCAATATTTGATCCCAGGTGTGGAAGCTGTCAGGCACAAATTACAGCTCTTTGCTCAGAAGCCCAAAGCAGGTGGCAGCTCAGCAGCCAGAATTAACGTGGCACTGAAAAAGTTGACTTTCCCTGCATGGATGCCTGGCTGCAGCTAAAAGCAGTTCCTCACCTTTCATAAGCACCAGATTCTCCCACAATTAAAAAACAAAAGGCACACCTGCTTCTCAAAGAAGGTCACATAACCACATCAGAAAATGTTATTTACACAAAACTTTAAAGGGAGACTGCCATCCTCAAAGCCTCCCACATCCACACTGAAACAGCAGAGGCAGTAGGAAATGGTGATCCAGTTTGCCCTTGCCATAGGTTACCAGCTATTTTCATTATGCACAAGTTTCCAGGTCCTCTCAGTTACACAGGTGTAATCCCAGAATAGTAAGTGTGCGTTCTTCCCTACTCCTTACTAAAAATGATGGACACTGTGATCACATTGCTGAAAAACTGAATGTATAAAGAAAGAACATATGGCAGCACAGAATATTGTAAATAGCTGAAAAACTGAATGTATAAAGAAAGAACATGTAAGAACATATGGCAGCACAGAATATTGTATGTATCTCTACCCATACAGAACAGGGTTGCTTAGTTTTAAAGAAGGTAGAAGTTGCATTCATATGTATTTCTGGTTCAAGCAGCTTATTACCACTCTCTTCCAAGCTGGTGGGAATGTGCTTTTTGAAGATTTTTATAAGCCTCCAAAGCAGACGTATTTTATTTCTAAGTACTCATCAATGCCATATTTTGAACCTTCTCGCCCTAAGCCAGACTGTTTTACCCCACCAAAAGGACTCTCCACTGCGGAGACGATGCCTTCGTTAACACCAACCATGCCAACTTCCAGCTGCTCGGCAACTCTCCAGATCTGAGCTGGATCTTGGGAGTAGAAATACCCTGCCGTGTAGACACAGATAGAGGACTGATGATTAAAATCGGGAAGAACAATTGCAGAAGACTGTGAAAAAGAGACTTACTGACATCACGTCTGCCGTTGCATTAAAAACCATCGCCCCATAACAGTAAAGCTCATAAACCCACATAAATCCATTGAGCTGACAGAGAGGCATACCTGCTAAACCCACATCGGCTGCGTTTGCTATAGCAACAGCTTCTGCTTCGCTCTCAAATCTGTCAACAGAAAGAGGAAAAAATACAAGTTAGGCCTGCAGTTCATCTGCCATCTTGCTCACTTGCTGACAAGAAGTAGCCTTATCAGAAATAAAAAAGTCCAGATACATTTTTTGAAAAAACACGTATTTTGAATATCTAACTTAATTTTCACTTTGAAGCACCAGAGGAATTTCTACCGCTTCTCTTTATTTAAACTGCAGTTAAGTAGCTCAGATTGTCTTGTCCTCCCTAGATACTGGTAGCTAAAACATTGCTGATGACACCTACTTTGTGGTGGTGTGGACACGCTGGAGGGAAGGGATGCCATCCAGAGGGACCTGGACAGGCTGGAGAGGTGGGCTGTGAGAATCCCATGAAGTTCAACAAGGCCAAGTGCAAGGTCCTGCACGTGGGTCGGGGCAATTCCAAGCACAGATACAGACTGGGCAGAGAATGGATGGAGAGCAGCCCTGAGGAGAAGGACTTGGGGGTGCTGGTGGATGAGAAGCTCAACATGAGCAGGCACCGTGCGCTGGCAGCCCAGAAAGCCAACTGTGTCCTGGGCTGCATCCAAAGCAGCGTGGGCAGCAGGGCGAGGGAGGGGATTCTGCCCCTCTGCTCTGCTCTCCTGAGACCCCACCTGGAATACTGTGTTCAGCTCTGGGGTCCCCAACACAAGGAGGACATGGAGCTGCTGGAGTGGGTCCAGAGCAGGTCCATGAAGGTGATCCAAGGGCTGGAGCACCTCTGCTATGGAGACAGGCTGAGAGAGTTGGGGCTGTTCAGCCTGGAGAAGAGAAGGTTCCGGGGTGATCTTATTGCAGCCTTCCAGTACCTAAAGGGGCTACAGGAAAGCTGAGGAGGTACTTTTTTCAAGGGTGTGCAGTGACAGGACATGGGGCAATGGCTTTAAACTGAAAAAGGGGAAATTTAGATTAGATATAAGGAAGAAATTCTTTCCTCTGAGGGTGGCGAGGCACTGGACCAGGTTGCCCAGAGAAGTTGTGGCTGCCCCATCCCTGGAAGTGTTCAAGGCCAGGCTGGATGAGGCTTTGAGCAACCTGGTGTAGTGGAGGGTGTCCCTGCCCATGGCAGGGGGGTTGGAATTAGATGGTCACTTTCAACTCAAACCCTTCTATGATTCTTCACAGGTTAGTCCATCCACCAATTTCCCCAACTATGCAAGCACTCTCAACTATGAGAGAGAATCATATGTTCTTCCATCACATCCAATTGCTCTGGGTCAAGGCAGGGAAGGTTTTAGGGAGAAAACAGAGCTCTAAGTCATCCTTCATCAGAAAAACTTAGGACTAGCACATCACATGACAAACTGACATGTTACTACTACTCTCCTACTTCATACCACTAATCATGAAGCTGATGAGGGTTTTACAGCAATCTACCCTTGCCTAAGTGCTGATGCAATTTAAATGAAAATAATTTTCAAAAAGTTGCAGAAATGCTACGATCAGGTCGAGAGAGAGGAACCACATATCCAAAGTAAGTTTTCACATGTGTACCCCAATCTTATTACAAGACTTGCGTGATTGTACAAAAACATCTTTTGGCAAACTGTCATTCAAATCCTATGTATTCAAAATAATATTTCATTGTTTTGTTTGAATTGCTATTTTTCATCTGGAAAATGAACAATCTTACCTGATAACTGGTGCTAAAGGGCCAAATGTCTCCTCTTGGGTGCAAAGCATTTTTGTTGTAACATTACTAAGTAATGTTGGCTCAAAGAAATTCTTCCCCAAGCTGTGTCGTTTCCCTCCAGTCACAACAGATGCTCCTTGAGAAACTGCATCATTAATGTGTCTCTCTACCTGAGGCATGCAAACCAAAAATCTCAAAGTTAGCATTTAGGAATGTACAATAGTAAATGTTTCACTGAAGAAATAATACTCTCCAGTAATAAACAGAAGGTTTTGAAGAGAGGTTTATACTTTGCAGAAGGCCATTTGCGGTATGACTTAAAATTTCTCTTAAATTTTTCTTTTTCTCAGTCTGAGATAATTTCTGAGAGATAAATTGTGAGTACAGCCCCAGCCTCACGGATATTAAAAATTCTGCTTTTCTGTTGAAATGAAAGGATTACATCAAACATGGTATCTGTCATGATGCACTATGGAAACAGAACTACACGACTTGTCATTTAAAGACAAACAGACAACCTTCAGGATGGTACTGGCAAAAACATTTTCCACCTGCTATGTCTAAAATTCATCCAAAGACAAGACAGTAGTAAGAAAATTAATGTAGCAGTCTCCACCCAGAATACTGTCCTTTGGAATTGCAGAAAGGCAGCTGACTACATCCAGTGCTTGCCTATTTGTATATATAGATGGATATGATACACACACACACATACACTTTTGAGATGAACAAAGGGAAGGCATGAAGGAAAGAAATCAAAGTACTGTATCTGTTGTCTCCCAAATAACTCTGAATATCTTCATATTCTATTATTTTATAAACATGAAGAATCTGGCAGCATTCAAGTATAATGGGATTCGAACCAAGCTTGCATATAACTGAGTCGTGGTATCTTAGAAAGTATGAACAACATAATTTAACAATCTTTAACCTTAGGAAGGGTGAAATATTATAGAAAATGTGACTCATTGTGATTTAAAAAAAAAAAATAAATAATTCCTAGAGTCACAAGTCATCCAAAACAGGAGACCCAAACCATGTATGTAAGGTTTCAAGTGATTACAACATGCAGAGCTGCAGTGTTTTTAACTTCCATGTATTATTCTCCTTAGCTTTTGCCAAACACAGGCACTGTTCTTCAAAATCAGCTGTCATTCACAGTGCTTCAGAACTGCAGGATCACCATACAACTCTCACAGTGTATCCAATTTCAGTAAATGTTCTCAGGAACAGCGAGGAATTAACCAGCAGGAAATCAGTTTCTCCTAAAGGAACAATCTTTTTCCTACAATCGAAATAGGGGAATGATGCCTTAACTGGCCACATCTGTTTGTCTATATGTATATATGGACTTGGAGGACAGAACACACTTCCAGCCACACTGCAAATACATCCTAACAAAACAAGTGTGAAAAAAGTGAAATATACATCTAAAGTTACCTTATGGATCATAAAAAGGAAATAAAGATATCAAAAATTCGATCTTTCATTTATACCTTCTCCACTGCTTTTTCATTAATTAGTGGCCCTTGGGTTGTTTTTGCATCAAATCCACTTCCAACACGTAGTTCTCTCTCTATAGCTTTAGCAAACTTTTCCACAAATTCGTCATGGATTCCCTTTTGCACCAGGAAACGGTTTGTGCAAACACAGGTCTGAAAACAAACATGAAAAGGAAAAACAAACAGTAGTTAATATTGTATTTATCAGTGACTGGCCTTCATGCCACAGTACCAGGCTACTACAGACATCTGTCCTCGGCCTCTTCTACAGCATCCTGAAGCGTTATCTCCTTTTGCCACTTCTTTCATCACCTCACTCACTTTAGAAATACAACCTCAACAAGTAGGGGTGTGAAACATGCTATACTGCTAAATTCACGTCGCTTACACTGGGAAAAGGTTTTGTGAGTTCTGTGGACTCTCATACATGGATCAATCAAGGTCCAGAAGCTGCAAGAAATACTTTCAAATTACAGATTGCAAAATGCTGGACTGAGCAGTAGAACTTCGAATCACACTTGATGGTGTGGGGTCTTTTTTTTCCTGACTCCTTCGTTGAGTTTGAGTTTGCCTTCTTCCTGGAATTTGTTTGTAAGTGCTTTCAGTGGGCTATTTATTCCCTGCCCATGGCAGGGGGGTTGGAACTAGATGATCTTTGAGGTCCCTTCCAACCCTAACCATTCTATGATTCTATGATTCTATGATTTATTTGTGCTACTCCTGTGCTCTAACTGCTACTATTTTGATTGCTATAGTCTCTCAAAAGTAACAGCTACTTTATCCTTCTGTGCAGCAGCAAAGGTGCCTTTTATGTTAGCTCTTGTCCAGTCTGTGTCTGATCACTCAGTGGTCCTTGTCTACATTCCAGTCCATTTTGTTTCCTCTCTTTCTTCCCAAGACTAGTCTTACATTTTCTTCCTGTGTTACTCAAGCAATGTTTTCCCAACCAAATGACCTCCCAATCCCACCAAAAACTTGCTGCTTCTCCAAAGCTGGAGTTGCATCAACTTCATGTTCATAGAATCATAGATTGATATGACTCTATTCATACATGGAGAGGTAATACTCGTAAGGCTGGAACAGTCTCCACCCAGTGCTGCTCAGCAGACTGTTCTCAAAAGTGATGCTCTTAAAAGTTTTTTGACTCTTAAGTAAAATACATTTGAAGCAATGTATGCTTGAAGTCTGTCTATCACGTTTTTTAAGCTACTCATTGTGGGAAAATCTAGCCATGTGTGTGTCTTAATGGATTTCAATCCCTTTAACTCCTGCTGGGTGCTTTCAGAACACAAAAAAAGACTTGAATTTATTACAGAGGGAAACATCTGTTGAGAGACTTGAGGTCACCATTTTTAAGAAATGGCTAGGCACATGTTATTCCTGAAAACTGAGGCAGGATGGTGTCTTTTCACAGCTCTAGTTCTCCAATGAACTTCATGCTAACAAAACATAAGACAAAATGTCTTATCACTTCTCATGCTCTTGCGAGGGGTCCTAGTGAACATCTTCCTTCTCAGTGATCCTGACTGCCATGTATATTGTTAAATACATGGGACTTCACAGTGTTGTTATTTAGACTTGCTGGTAACTGACTTGAGTGCCCAGAACCATGTGTGAGTCCAGTATCTTTCTCTTCACAATGTTTGACTAGATTTCTAGGTTGGAAAAGACCTTAGTCCAGTATCTTTCTCTTCACAATGTTTTATGCTTTCCTTTTACACAGAATAGCGTATATACAGCTTAAACTAGATGTACAGCTCTTCACTTTCCAGAAACAAGGACAAAAAGGTTACTCTTACCTGTCCTGAGTTTCTATACTTGGAAGCAAGGGCTCCTGCAACAGCACGGTCCACATTGGCACTGTCAAACACTATAAAAGGAGCGTGTCCTCCAAGCTCCATGGAAACTCGCTTCACAGTGCCAGCTGCATGTTTCAGCAATATCTGTGGGCAACAGAGATGGTGAACTGTGGAACCACAGATGGAAGGCAGGGAAAAACTAACTCTGGCAGGGAATTATATCTTCTCTATAATGCTAGACAATCTGTTTTCTCCTATAACAAAACCAAAAGATTAATTTCCTTCATTAAGATCTTTAGAGATTAAATTCTGGCCAAGAAATAATGAAAAGAAGGATTTTCATCAACTTCAGGTCAGGTGAGGCTTTTATACACTAACATTGTCACTCTTGTTTCCTTGTTCTTTTCTTTTTAGGTAATATCTTGACTACTCTTGCAAAATTTCTCCAAGATCTGACAGAAGTTGGGATTAAGATTTGCCTTGATACCAGACGACTTCTTCATTCTGCATACAGCCATCCCACAGAACTCTATCATCTAGCCACACTCTGCAGTTTGCTGATTTCATGAGAGATGGTGACAAGATTGCTTATTGACTAAGGTTGACAGGAGAGATTCAAGGGCCTCCCTCACTTCTCTAATACTTTCTCTCAACTGCAGAAGCCATTCCTGAATAGTACCTTTGAAACTCCATGTCAGTGTTCTTACTGGTATGCTGTCACCCTACAACATGAAACAAGAGCATCCTGCACAGAACTGTTCACATTATAATTTAATAAAGGGCAGTTATCCAGAAGTTACACACACACATCCTTCTATGAAGTAAATACTAAAGTAAATAGGCAGTATCTCAAGTACACAATTATTTGGATGATCTGTGTACAGGAGCCAGAAAAGACGATGGCTCTGTATAAAGACACACACTTTCCCCCTACCTTTCCAGTATAACCACAGTAATAATCTTCAAGGATATTCTGTGCACTCATGTACCTTTCCTACCGCTGTAGAGCCAGTAAAAGATATTTTGGATACCAATGGATCAGTGCACAGAACTTCCCCTACAGCTGGTGCCTGTTGTCTGGAACAAGGAACAACATTATACACTCCCGCTGGAATTCCGGCCTGGTTTGCAAGCTGCAACAAAACAAAAACATAATGTGCATTATCAGTGCATTTTGTACGAGGAATAGTCACTAAACATTTGTTTATTGTTTTGAAGAAGCCAGTCGGTAAGTCAATGGAAGCTGAACGTGCACAGCACAACTAGTAACAGATGCCACAGTGTCAAGAGAGCAGCTTTGCTCCAGTTTAAGTTGTCTGGCATTCAAAGTAACCAAAGGAAAGATGGAAAGATGTTTTGTGTAGCTAAATGGCCAGGTCTTTGAGGATTTGGACCATATTAGAGGCAACTTTCAAAGATTCCTACTGAACTAAAACCTCTGGATCACATCAGCCAGTTTGCCCTTTCTTCATGCACGAAGCTGGCCACTTGAAGATACCTATGGTATCTTTGAAGCTCATCTGACTCCTCGTTCACAGCTTCAGTTCACTGCTAAGGTAAAGCTTAGCAGAAAAGCTCACCTCCCCAAGAGCCAGTGCTGATAACGGGGTGTCCTCTGCAGGTTTCACCACCACTGTACACCCAGCTGCCAGAGCTGCACCAACCTTCCGGGTAATCATAGCACTGGGGAAATTCCACTGGGATAAGAGAAAAAAAAGTACAATCAAAACTGAGAAAATGTGGTCTCCTGCTTTTCCAGAAAGCTGACATTTTCCGTAATTACGTGATAACTGAAACAGACTTGCATGATGTGCTTTGTCCTAAGTGAACATCACAAAGAAGCACTGCCAATCCAGGAAGAAGTGAGTACGAGGTAGAAATGAAACTTTCTGAGGGCTGGAGGAACCACAGGGCCACGGGCCCGTGCTGTGGGCTGAGCTGAAAACCTTCCCATGGTTTGAAAAATTCACCTATGCTTACTGGGGTTATCCTGCCACTCCTACTGGCTGCTTCAGCACCAGGATTCTCCTGTCTTTTGCAGATGCTGGAATGACATCCCCATAAACGCGGCGAGCTTCCTCTGCAAACCACTCCAGAAACGAGGCGGAATACAGGATTTCACCCTGTGCTTCTTTCAGAGGCTTCCCCTTTAATTAAATCAGATTGAAGATACACTGTAAGCAGCACACTGAAGCAATAAAAACATTCGAGTAATTTGGGAGTTTCTGTTCTTTTCAGAGTACTTTATAACGCCCTATCACGTACATGGCAATCTCCAAAAAGGATTATATGACTGCAGCACCAATAATTACGCATCTTCAATACACCATCATTTTGTATGCTGTGCCTGGATCCATACCTGCCCTAGACAAGGAGCTGGAACAGCAAACGTAGCATGTGTCTATTTACAACCTGCAGTTAGCTGCTACTACCAGGAGATGCAAATTCTGGCAAAACATTTGCTTTGGGGAGTACTGCTTTGGACTACCTCCAGGTCTGATCCTGTAGACTGAACAACCATTCGCAGCTGGGACACCACAGGGGAGCTGCTGAAATATCTTCCAGCAGGGTTTTATCCAAAATGACACCAGTCTGTGAGCTCCCAGGCTGCTCCATGATGCAAACCAAATCACAGTGAGTGAATCCAACTAGGAGACTTGCTTCAATAGTACGGCAATTTTTTCTAAGTCAATGAAACTGGTAAAACACAAACGTTTCTGCCACGAAGACCACGGTTTAGGTTAACATATGGTTTTGCACACCACGAAGCACAATGTGGGCCTGATTTCCACTGGATTGTTAGGTACTACTGTCATCAAAATAACCCATCATACGTGTGTCAGAAAGAGAAATGTTGGAAACGTTATCCATTGACCTCACAGAGCGACGTGAACGCACAACGTGTGCGCTAGGCTCAACTTTTTTAAGTAATAAAATAAAGATACGGTGGTGAAAAGCATAGAGGGTGTTTTGACGGCTGTCAGCTTTGTTTTATTTTATTCCAACGTTAGCATCCCTGCATTACGTTTCTAAAAAGGCGGGATGAGCACGGGGCAGTACCTGTGTCCGCTCACCCGGCACGACCTACTCACGTTCTCGGCCGTTACGATCCTCGCCAGCTCCTCCTGGTTCTCCAGCATCAGCTCGTACCACCGGCGGAGACGCGCGCTCCTCTCCTGGGAAGACAGAAGGCTGCTGGCCCC